TGTCCATTAGATCTAGTTGGCTTATTATGGCAAGTCCTCTATTTCTTTACTTATCTTCTGTCTGGTTGTTCTAGCCATTATTGAGAGTAGAGTATTGAAGTCTTTAACTATTATTGCAGAACTGTCTATTTCACATTCAATTCTATCAGTTTTTCCTTCATACATAATTGTTGGTTTCTCATTAGATGCATACATGTTTATAATTGTTACATTTTCTTCCTGTATTGAACTTTTTTTTTTTTTTTTGAGACAATGTCTTGCTCTGTTGCCTGGGCTAGAGGGCAGTGGTGTCATCATAGCTCACTTGCAACCTCAAACTCCTGGGCTCAAGTGATCCTCCTTCCTCAGCTTCCCAAGTAGCTGGGACTACAGGTATGCACTACCACATCTGGCTAATTTTTTATTTTTTTGTAGAGACCAGGTCTCAGTATGTTGCTCAGTCTGGTCTCAAATTCTGGCCTCAAGCGATCTTCCTGCCTTGGCCTTTTATTAATATATAATGACCTTCTTTGTCTCCAGTAACTTTTTGGATGTAAAACCTATTCTATCTGATATTGAGATAGCCACCCCTGCTCTCTGTAGATTATTATTTACATGGAATATTAAGTTTTACATTTTTAAGTTAAATCTTATTTGAAATAAAAGGTAACAATCATTGATTCAAAAACATACACTGAATGTCTACTATGTCCCAGGTACTGGGGACAGAAATATGAGAACAATATGGTCTCACCCTCAGAGGTTGCCCAACAGTCTAGTCTCAAAGTCTTTCTGAACTGAGAGTTCTCATCTGAATTACAGAACACACAAAAAAATTGCTATTTACTAAATTCTCTCCAAAATGGTACATAACTAGTACTGTGCTGGATGCAAGGAAAATGTTAATTCATTACACAAAATAGATGCCTCAGCATATTACGGGCTTCATCAGCTTGCAGAACTCTTGTTGTAAAAAGCTGATCATAGAGTGACAAATAGCCCGACACTTAACAACCAGTCCGATAAGTGCAACAAGAGGTACGTACCAACTCACTAAAGTGATAAAATGTAAGAAATCTTAAAATCAGTAATTTCCTAGCAAAAATCTATAAACTATGCTTAGTATTGTATTTATATTATTTATTTATTT